ATGCAGGATACGCTTCGCTAAACAAATTATAATGAACTATTAACTTTTAACAACAATTCATACAACTTACTTTCATCATAACTGTTACTACTTAATTCAAATTTTTCATATTGATTTTCATCATTGCCATGAGTATTGTCTTTTATTTCATTAGTTAACTCAGAATAATGTGTCTGAATACTTTTGTTTAAATTTCGCCATTTCGAACGAAAATCTTTTAACTCAACTTAAAGATCATTTAATGTTGATTTAGATAAAAACAGTGAAATTAAATCAAATACCCGTTTTAAAACAGTTGGTTGTAAATTTTCTGAATGGTTTTAGAAATTTTTAAGGTCAAATCATGAGAAGTCTGCACATAATGTTCCGTGTTCTGCATACCTTTTTTCAAAACTGTTAGTAATTGTATTTGTAAGTTAAAATAATGACATTGATGATGTAGAAATATTGGTTGTATCACACATCAATAAATTTAAAACATGTGCATAACATCAAATATGCGCCTGTTCTTTAGTAGCTTCACTTAATTTTTTATACAACCCATTATATTGTCCTTGCATGTTAGAAGCACTACCGGTGGAATTACCAACACATTTATTTGGATCGATATTTAAATCATTTATAAGCTTCATTAACATATCGACAAAGTTAATTCTTTTGGTACCAGTGTAATTGACATCTCCTACCAATTGTTCCTGTATAGATGCATTTTTCATGTATCACAAAATCACAGAGCATAGATACACTCTTGTAATGTTTTGTGTAGTCTAATTTAACAGAATACATATCAGCTTTGTTTAATTCTGAAGATATTTTGGACTTGATTAACTGGTTGATTGCATCTATAACATAGTTAATAGTGGTTTTCGATAAAAAATTAATATTTCCTCTCCCTTGCTTTGACCCAAGATCATGGCTTATCTGACTGTTAATAACTGTATTAAGATGACTTTTTAATTTAGAGTCATATTTTCTTAATGTAATTATTTCAAAAAATTACTATGGTCTAAGTTGTCATTTTTAAATTTATATGCAACTTCATTTGATTTACATTGATAACTCAAAACCCTCTTTCCAATTAATTTCACTACGTCTATTATCCGGTTAAATATTTGTTGATGATTATAATTTGATTTTTTCTCAAAGCCCTTTGGCCATATGCAAGAAGATAGTCAATAGAATCATATTTTTTCCAAGTATGTGATCATCTACGCTGTTTCTATAAAATGTTGAACATTCATGTTCTTCAATACAGTTGTATAAATGCTTCCAATCCATTATACGATGGATAAATATATTATTATCAGTATACTTACCATTCAAAATACATAAACTACAAAATATTGCAGGGTTTTCTGATCTGAAAGTAATTCACATACGATTACCTCCATCTATTCTAGTATACGCTTTGGCTGCAGAAAATGGTAATTTATTTGCGGTTAATGCAGATGATATTGCACCAAGAACATTTTCATTTTGCCAAATAAAATAATTATAGTGCGGATCAAATTTATTCGGTTTTTTCGACGACTCCAAAAACTGTACACTTTTGATAAAATACTGGAAAAAACCGCACACTTTTTTAAATTCTTGTAACCAAAAACCGCACATTTTTTTAATGATATATAATTTATTATTTATTATTTATTATTTATATTAAATATTTATTTAAAAACAATTTATTGAGGTACAATGTATATAGGCACTGAACAATTTAAAATATGAATAAAAAAAAATTAAAATTGCCCTCTTTATAACTATCTTCTTCTTCTCTTTCTTAGGGTTTATTGGACCTCTAAGACCATCCCGTCTCACAGCCTTTATTACTATCAATAGTTTTAAAATTAATTTATGAAAACACTTTTTTTCTTATAATATGTATATAAACTTTACGTTATACAACGCGTTTCGGTCGAAAAATGTACTGGTTATTTTTCGAACACATCAACGTGCGATAAGATAAGATTTTGAACGTAACAATTAACTTAAAAAATTATATATATATATATATATATAACATTCGTCTATACAAAATACATTATATAGTGAGGTTTTTATCCACTATAAGTGTGCGGTATTTGGCTGTACGATATACTTACCTGGCAATCCATAAAGTGTGCGGTTTTTGTCTACCAACCTTTTTGGGATTAAAATCAAATATGTGCGGTTTTTGGATGCAACCCTTTTTTTCACCTCCATACCTTTCATTGCACCGTTTTCAGCATGAACATCATTAAAAACATCTACAGAATTTTGATATCTAAAATACATATAATATCCAATAATACTATTCCTAATTGCAGCGCATCATTCATAAATTTTATAAGTATTCGTTAAGACGATAAAATAAAAATGTCTACATTAACTGCAAAGAAATTATCTTGAATTAAGTCAAATAATTTTTTATTAATTTTCCAAAGTCTGTACCTATTATCGCCGATTGCTAAAATTATAAATCATGTTGACTTATACACACACATATTTTTTTTGTTCTTCTACACTTATGCATTCAAACGAGTGTATTTAGAACCGATATTTATAACCAAACCGAGAACAATAAAACGTAAACAGACGTTGTTAAAGGAAAGTAAAACAATTTTAAAATGTATTGCATTTTACACCATTGAAACTGTTCGAGCTGTACACAATATTTTAGTATTTGTTTTGAATTATTTAAAGGTATGTTTAGCATCGGATTAATTTACTTTTATGGGTTTAGTGGCAATACATAAATGATTATCTGTCAAGAGTTATTTGATAATTTCAAAAGTATACATGTATGGATATAATAATAATAATAAGAGCTTTAGGGTAGTCGACCAAGGGCAATATCATTTATTTATGTCCGGGGGTTAGTTTTTGACAAATTATAAATAACATTGTTACGAGTCCGTATATTCTGTTAAAACTAGAATTTTCACAAAAATATAACCGACAATAAACCTACGGTCACATAATGAATAACTTGAAATGTCGCCGTATTATAATACCCTTATTACCGGACAATTTAAAGCATAAAACAGTAATAGAATTGCAAGCATATAACACTACTGTATATACCGAACACATGGTTACCTCATTAAAAACTGATAAAAATATAAATTTACATTTGAATGTTATACTCGTCATGTTAAAAGTTGATACTATATTACTTACTACACACAAATTATTATAATATTATATATTATTGATTACTACTTCTTTATGATGTATTAATTTTCACATATGTTTCATTTGTAGCAAAATATTTTCGTAATTGAACAGTTTAAATTATTGATTTCAAGTAATCACAAAACTACGTTTTACAAAGAAAACAAGGGAATTAATGGATAGCTAATATAAACACCGACGTAGAGTTTATAAAATATCAAATTGAACAATCAAACAAACCAATTAACGAGATTGCTAAAAGAATCGTGGTGCAAAAAATGTCGTTAAAATATTCAACGTAAAAACATTACAGACTACACGTCAATGACAGTAGAACCCTTCTTTAGGGAATACGGTTGGGACAGACGAATGATAGATGGTCGCGGTCGCATAATATTTAATTGGCTAATTTAAAAAATCAAAATGATTAAAGTATTTCAACCTTTACGGTTTATGACAGCATAAATAGTTTGTGTCTGAAATATTTACAATATATTGTAGTTATTACATTTTAAATGATAATAATTAAAAAATGTGAGTTATAACATTTTGTTTACAGTCATTTTGACAAATCCAATCATTTTTATCGTTAACCTATACGGTCATTAAAATATAATATAATATGTTTTGCAATTAATTCTATATTGCATTATGAAATGTTTTGTTTTGCTTGTGTATAATGTTGTAGTTGATTAGTAACCCAACAACAAATACATTAATTTTTAATCTTTTGAATAAACGTAGACCATTACACAAATTAAATTACACTGAAGTAAAAACAATTGACTTTGGAAATCATATTCGTCACACGAAACATCAACACTTGTTCTAATATAAATTCGGATACGTGGCGCAGCTTAGGATAAGGAATAACACAACGCGGTATGTATCCGCAGGCGCGGATACAAGAGGGAGAACTATGGGGGCTGAAGCTCCCCTCCATAGACATTAGGTGGGATCATATCGGAAGTAGGTACTTAAAATATTTAACAAACCAGACATAAGAAAGACTTACTTAAAGCCGACTCATAAGCACACGAAACAAAAGGTTCCTACGGATCGTATCCGTAAAGGGTTAGGGTAAACTAATTGCGTCCGTATCCGACTGTAAATATTTCACCAAATCGACCGAGTGCGATATGAATTAACTGTTGACGTCCGACGACTGTGTACCAAACACATATTGGTTTTACCACGGCAAACATCCTGTGCGCGCGAGTAAACACATGCACGCGGGTCATATCTCATATATTTGCGCTGCGTGACGATTCTTGGGAATCGTCGAATTTCGTCATGTTACGTAATGCAGCAATGTTCCGGGGGCGCGGGACGGTGTACCGCATTGTAACAGTTCAGTTTGGTTTCGGTTTCGTCTCGTAGTTATGTCACACGCATCACGCGTACATTAACGGGGTTACCGGGATTAGTGGTCGGGGGTGGTGGTCGGAGGGTCGAACCGAATTCGCGAGCCAAACGGATTACGGTTACGTTATCGTTGCAATTTCTCCGCCGCGTACGGTCGACCGGAGAACAGCTACGGGTGCGCTGGCGGATAACGTGTGTGTGTAAACACTATCGCAAATTGCACACGGTTAATTTTAAGGTTATTACGTACAGGTACGTTATTTCGATCACCGTGTGTGCACTCGTACAGGTTGACGGGCGGATGGCGAGAGGCGATGGGTGAGGGGTTCGTTCGTAAGGGTCCAGCGTGCTGGCACTCAAGCAATCAATCACACACACAAACATTTGTTCGCGCGCGCCATCGGCCGGGGACCGAAAGGGCTAACCCGCCGACGGGTGACGGGCAGCGGACAGGTACGCGCGCCGGGGACGAATGGAAGTGCTACCTGTTTGTGTGCCGTTGCTGGTGGCGGTGTTGACGTGTTGATCGGCCAGCGCGCACGCGCACAACAAGCACATCCATCGGATCCGTCTGGCGGCCAGCTGCATCTCATGTCGTCGGCTCGTCGTGGTGACTGCTGTGCTGCGACACGTCCGCGTCGTCGGGGAACGCGTTACCGCGCGCGGTGTAACGGTCCGGGACGAGCTGTTTGCGGTTCGGACCGCGGTCGGTCGTCAGGTCGGTAGACCCGTGGTACGTTCGAAGCGCTCGGGGGAGATGGTGGGCGGCGGACACCCGATGTGACAAGATCAGACGGTTAACGGTAACGGCGGAATTTTGGACGAGGCGGGTGGCGGAAGACGACGGCTTGTGGACAGCGCCGGATACGTGTCGGTGAACAACTGCGGCGTCGGCAGCGGCGGTGTGCCGTGGAAAAGCGCGCGCACAGCCGATTCGCCGACCGAGTGGATGCGCTTTGAAGTCCGTATCGTCGCGCCGCCGCCGCATCGCCGACCCCGGCCGCCCTCCCGTGTCACGACGGGGCCCGCCGTGTCTGCGCCAACCCCCGTGGCCCACAGTCCTGCTCCACCGCGAGACCAGGCATGACGGGAGGAGGACGAAGCGGTCGCGCGACCCTGACGAGGTGGTGGTTGCGAGCGACGGATGGAGAGAGAAAACGCTAACAGACCCGCCGCCGAAAATAATGCCAAACGATGTATTATAATTCGATAGTTTCGCCCCAGCGCGTGTACCTATATATAGATATATTTATGTATAAATAACGTGTAACATATAACGAGTTGATGATATCATACGCACGGCGTACCTTTTCGCCGAACAAAAACGAACGTTCTCGCAAGTTAATATAATAGTAGTAAACAGTGATTTTCGCCACCAACCCGTGCAACCCTTTCTGCTCGCTGTGGTTGTCGGTATATAACCGTACCGTGCATATGTATACGTTAAGCATATATTTTTTATACATTGTTGCACCTGCGCTACGCACTTACCGCTGTTGTGGGCACCATCGCAGCCGCCCACAGGTTAGACCTACCGGACTTAACCTACCTGTGTTGCGCCGCATTGATCAATTCGGTCGTGCACCAAATAAATCATTTACACTCTGAACAGAACTATGTCATGCTTGGTCGGTGCGTGAAACATAGAATTTGGGCCTTATGGACCCAAGGTATCTACTGCGCATGCGTTATTGATAACACGGAACGGGGATAAACGGATGTTACAGTAATCTTAAACAATTCGCGGTGATTAGGGTACAAATACTAAGCTCTACTACACTCCATCGCTCTACTCAGTGCATATTATCTAAGGGTCGTACGCATGTATACACACCTAGGTTACCTAGGTCACGGTGGCGTACTTTATCGTATCATAGGGCAAATGGGACAGTATCTCAGGGCTCCAGACCACGAAAAGCTTTAGAATCGTTGGCAATCCTAAGACCATTGCTCTTTAAAATAATTTGAAACTGATGTTAAATTTAATTCCTAAATTATGAGTGATAATTCTAAATACGTTCAGTATTGACGTGGAATCATATTTTACGCGAAATGCATTGTTTTTTATAGTATGAAATTTTATTTCCTTTTCACTTTGTACAATCATTAATTATTGGTTGATTATTTTAGTTTATCGTTTCTTAGTAAGTATTCACATTTGAATGAACTATACGACATGTTCGTTTTGAGTTTTTATAAAAACAAAATATTAGTTGGGGTCCTAGTTTATTTCACTTCACGTCAAGGTTAGAGTGCGATCAAATGTTCCTATCGAATCGCACTATGGGAGAAGGACTTTCGAAGAGTAAACCCTCGACTGAGTCTGAGCAGAAAGCATGCGAGCTCATCGTCCTTTTAAAAACAAAACGCCTTACCATCGCTATTCTACATACCTTTATTTCTTTCCGTCCGCAGACGATACGGATTAAATACGTAATATTATTAATCACTGTGTATAGCTATAAACTGTGTACGTGTTCGCAATGCGAGTTGTGCTGATAACAGTGGTAACTGACACACTATAGTGACGATGTAACCGTATTACTGAACGTGAATCTCGTACAGTCGCCGTTTTTGCAGATTGAAACTATACGCGTATACCGCGGAACACAACACGGGTTAGTTCGTGCGAATCGCATCCGCAGGAATTGTGATTACGAAAAGTTGTACGTAGGAGAAAGTAAAACCCCACGTTTAGGAATGGGGGTGGAATCGCGACCTCTCTACCACCTTTGGTTGCGTCATTGTGGGAAACTACGAGTACATGTACTTATAGTCACGCGCTATAATTTTAACGTTGGGATTTTTAACAAAATAATGACACAGTATTCAATGCCACAAAACGCGTCAACTGCAGTATCGACATTCTCCAACAGTCACCCTTGTTTGTGTGCGACTGTGTCTATGTCTATGTATATGTATCTGCGTGTGTGCAATGGCGTATTTAAAAGAAGAAAAGAGGAAATCTGGAAATACATCTTCCCTTTGAGCTTCTTTATATCTTTCTAAACAAGTATTTATCAACAATAGCATTCCTGTTGTTGATTGCGAAAGTTAAAATTCTTAAAACTATAACAGAAATAAATACTTTATTATTTATCTTCTTTGAGCTACGTAACAACTAAAACAATGAACATGTTCTAACTAAAGTAATTAATAAGTGGATATCTTTATCCTAAGGAAAATGCCAAATACGCAACTATGTATGAGTTGTGATCACGCAACACAAAGTATTGCCAACTATTGAAACTTAGAGTTACTAATAAAACGTTAATTCTTGACGCCTGAAATACTTGTATGATCTATACTAATATTGATGTCGTACATTCGTTGTACAGTGCGTTTAGTCCGTGGTAATTAAAAAAGAAAAATGAAAAATGCTAACATCCTCCTGAAACTATTCATATTTTTTAGTTTAATTTTAAAATTGTATACCAGAATCGTTTGGTTGAAAATATTAAAAAATGTATAAGCAAAAAAACAATAATAAATAACGCAAATGTAAAAATATATACGGGATACGATGCAAAGATAAAAATGCAAACAAACATGTTTAACTATTGATACATATAATTGATATAATAATTAAAATACGTTGTATATCGACGTATTGAAAAAACGAAAGCGGTTATAAGCTTTGGGAATCGTTAAAACCATTTAATTTTGGTTAAATCCTGGGTACATTGTTGGGGAAATGTAAACAGTTATCACTTGGTAACATTTATTTAATTATTTACTATACTGGAGAAAAAAGACTAAAACTTAATAATGAATGGTTTTCTTTCGTGCTATTAAAATACTATAACCTATCAACCTGTCCTATTATAATCTATTCAAATAGAAAAAAAAAAGTCTTATATTTTATAAATTTATTTTTACCTATTAAAACCAAAAGAAAAGTCAACATTTTTTTTTTTTTTTTTTTAATTGAAATTCACTAAGGGAAGAGGGCAGATAAAATGTTTGAAAATTTACAAAGAATGGGGGCATAAAATAAAAGAGGTTGGGCCAACACATATTAAACTTCAATATCTAAAAAATTATTCTAGTTAAATACTATATTGGTATATTATGTATTATCATATTATTATATTTATCACGCTGCGCAATATCAAAATTCAATATATTTTTACATTATGAACTATTTTATTAGAAATTCGCAAAAAATATATTATTTCTTCGCTCACTTGTTTAAAATAAAATACATTACGTAGCAATACACAAATCTATAAAAATCTTATTCAAGTTCAAATAATAATGTTTCTAATATACTGTATAGAACAACAGAGTTTCCTCAACGGAAAAATGCATAACATTATGTAGCATTTTATATTGAACCGAACGGTAAATTTATAGTTTTATTCGTGTAGAAAATTACTATATTATTAAAATCTCATACGCATTTTATAAACCACTGAATATTATATCAATGTATCGTCTTTTATACCAGTGTTTCTCAATTGTTTTATTCTGGCGACCCCCTTTTTGAATTTGAATTTTTTAGGGACCCTTACTTATATTTTTTTTACTCACTTTTATACATACGTAAATTATTATTAATAATTAATACTACAAGTACTCTATATTTCACACTATACAGTATACATAAAAAACATAAAATACTATATTATAATTATTTTTAATTAAAAACCGTATACCAAATATTTTATTCTATAAGTATATATTTAAATTAAGGTTTTTAATGGCTTGGTTGTAGCTATTGATATGAAATTATTTCATTCAATTCTTGGTGTAATTGACTTGATTAAACTAATTCTCATTGCTGATGAAATATCCAGTCAATTTCTGTTTTAATACATACCTAATTATATATACTCATGTTATATAATATTTTAATATATAATATAACAAATATAATATATTGTAATAAAATATTTAAATTTTAAATCATACGTAACCCTAAATAATAAGTTGACGATCTCTATTTTGAAAAACACTGTTTTAGACTGAAAATAGTTTTAATCAAATCCAGTATATAGAATACACAGCCTGTATTATATGTATTATTATTATACAAGTGCAGACTTTGAAATATTTTCAAAGTTTCACGGCTTATTAATTGGTAATTTTTAATAATATTAAGTAATAGTTATACATTTATGCAGCAAATATTTATAAAATATTATTTTTACAAAATACATGATTTACTGCTAAACATAACATCGCCGGACCGTATACAATTTAATAGACTAAAAAAAAGCCGACCGGATATAGGATATCTTGGGTGGAATATGGAAATCGGGACAACCCGGGTGTAATGAAGTGGGGTATCTTTAAATTTAAGAGTAATGATAAATTAAATCACATTCGAAAAAACAATTATGTACAAAATGCGTTTCATTATAAAAATAAATAAATTTATCTATATAGATATTAAATGTTTAAAAAAAAAAACTGTTATTTGAAATTTCCAATATTATTAGAAAGTGCAATAATCTTGTTAAAATATTTTAAATATAAAATACTAAAATGTAAAGTTTAGACTTAAATATTCATAAAAAAAGTTAAATATATCCATTAAATCTTTCTTTAAAATTAATTGTATATACTTAGTAATAATAAAAATAAAATTTTTAAAATATTTTAAAATTTTAAGTACAATATGTAAATTAATTTATACAATGTATCAAGTTAAATATAAATCTGCAACATTTATGTATAGTTAATTTTATTGTCGAAGAAGGTACCCATGTGACTCGAATTCACGTATCCGAACTTTGAAGTATAGAGTAATGTGGTTTAGAACTAGAATAATATATTTTATTGGTTTACTAAATATGTATAGAATAACAATTACGTAGTGCCTTAGAACTTAATTTACATTTTGAATAGGATATTTTTTATTTGTTTCATTAGTTTTGTTTTCAAATTGGTTTTATAATACAAATACATATTTTATTAAATAAATTACGAAATCGATGG